TTAGCTGCGTCTTGAGGGCTCAGCCTTCACGAGCTTCGGGATTGATGGGTTAGATGGGGGGTAGAAAATACATAGGAGTATATATATATATATGCATGCACACACAGTAGAAAGATATGTGTGTAAGGGGTAAAGCGAGTAATGGAGCAGTCTATGGAATCTTCTATAGCATTCGAGTTTAGGGTTCAGGGTTTAGGGATAGGTAGGGGAACCCAAAACCACCTGCATCCTAAGGCATACAAGTCCCTAATTCCTAACTTCTTTCAACACAATTCAGGTCCATCGGGTGGTTCTTATGTAAAGGGACATCGATGGCGTCCTATGTAGTTCCTCTTTCGTGTAGAGTATTAGACTTCCTTACCACGAGACAACCCCAAACGAAACCCAGAATGGACATGAACCGAGACCCTGGGTGTGCCGAAAGCCTTGAATCCCCAACTCTTAGACTTGAGCTAAAGTCTTCACTCCTTAAAGGGGGGGTCCATATACGCGATTTTATAGGGGAGTGTTACCCTAAACCCTAAACCCCAACAGGGGTCATTATGGCTTCAGGGTTCGGTGACGAGCAGGGCGCTGAAGGACCTCAGAGCTTTATCCGGACTTCATCATTTAAGGATCCAAGAAACTCCGTTCAGGGTTTAGGGTTTAGGGTTCACAAAAGCCTTGAAGGCTCTTGTGAAAGGGCCTCAGCACGCAGGGTTAAGGAATATGCCACTATCCTTTTTGTCCAAGAGTGCCCCCAAGTCGTGCCCGTAAACGGTCTGGATACAGCTCCTGTGTGAAACCATACAGTTTTGTAGGGCTCCTCGAAAAGACCCTAAACCCTAAACCCTCAAAGGGGTACAACCTTAGGGTACAACCCTGGCACCCTGGATATGATTTCCAGAACTCGAGGGTCTGGGAAGAGGAGTTGAGAGTCTGGGCTCTATAGGGATTCTAAGGTTTAGGATTTAGGGTTTAGGATTTTTACTATAGGGATTCTAGGGTTTAGTATTTCGGCTTCGGGATATACGGTTTGGGCTACGTTGCAGGTTCCCAAACCACACCTGCAAAACTGCTCCCCCGTGTTGGGTTCCCCCTCAGTTTTCGGTGTGTTTAAGTATGATTAGTAAGGTTCTTTCAGCCTAATTGGGGTCGAACCTTAGCTCGTATAGGCTGGGCGGGGCGGTGTTGGTTCGGAAACCCATGAGGGATGTACATTGCCACATCATTTACGCTCGTGGCGATTGACAGCAGAAATAGGAAGTGGAGGTCCTGTTGTCCACCACTTTCCAGATACGTATCAGGCAAGAGTCATCCATGAACAAGTATGACTTAGCTCTGTAGGCTAGCAGCAGCTTCGTTGCGCTCCAAACCTGAGCCCCTAAACCCTTAACCCTCAGCACAGAGTCCAAAGGTCACAATCCAAAGCCCTGAAAAGTCACCCCAGCAAATCCTGAGTCCTAAGCCCCAAACTCAACAGGAAAAAGCTCCCAAACCCTAAATCCCAAGCCCCAAACATTAAGCCCTGCTCAAATGGGGAGGCGAGGCGAACGCCAGCGAGCTGCCTTACGGACCGACCGCAGCCAACAGCAAACGAATGAAGCGGTCTGTGATGAAAAGCAGCCCTTCTCCCGTAGTGATATAACGAAGAGTCTGCAACAGAATTACACATGTGGAGCGCTTTCATTCTTCGGGGATGCAGGATTCGATTCCTTGGGTCAGTTGATTGTAAACAAGTTCTGCCCACGATTACAGTTCGCGGGGTCCACCTAGATTATACCTGTAAATCCAATTATAATCGAATAGGCTTTATTTTAGGTCCTTACATTCCACCGCACCCATTCCAAAGCCCTCACGCTGCAAATCCTGGGGCCTTAAGCCAGGGGCCTTAAGCCACCAAAGCGTGCTCAACAACTTTGAGAAAAAAAACAAGAAAAACTACAGACATGGGTCTTAAACCCTAAATCCCTAGACCCTGGGCCTTAGGCCCTATATGAGGCTCAGGCTGAGGCCCTACAGCTCTCTCTGTGTCTCTCTCTCTCTCTCTCGATCTGAAAGCCGGCGTATCCTTGAACTCGCAAAACCCTAAACCTTAAATCCTAAACCCTAAACCTTAAACCTTAAACAGTAAACCTTAAACCTTACTTCCTAAACCCTAAACCAAGGCTAAGCCACTAGACTCTGGATCCTGAGCGTGTAAAGTCCTTCAGTCTCTGGCCTTACAAGCCTAAGCCCTGCCAGGACCCCCCAACTACCCTTACTTG